TATTTCCAGACACATTAGCCTTCTTACAGCCAAAGGATTGGGAAATTGCCAACAAGCACAGCACACAAAATAGTTTAAAACAAGGGACAACTCCTGAGTGTAGTTTTCCACAGCCTAATATTAACCATACTAATGACATCAAACTGTATATTACAAAAAGAGAACACCAGGTTTAATACCTTATGAAATATGTACAGAAGTTGAACATTCCTGTATGATATAATTCAAGTCATAATTCAATTATGAATGTAATGGGACATTCTGATAAAGTGAAAAAGGTCTAGTTGATTACCAAAAAATGCATGTAAACCATAAAAGATAAAAACTACTTAAAAACACAAAATTCTAACCACTAGGTTTAAGCTTTCATTTTTAAAAAATATATATATACACACACACACACATATATATTTACAATCTTTAAATTTCATACATTTGTTAATTTTACATGATCTTAATTAACAGGTGACAAAAAAGCAACAAAAAAACCCCACTTTTTAATCATTTTATAACAGAAAAAAATCAATAGGGAGGTTGGCAGAATGTAGTATACACAGTAGCTAAAATTCCAAAGGCAGGGACTTTATTATTAATGGAGTCATAAAATAGACATAACCAAAAGCATATGCTAGTACACAAGCAGTCTCACTTCAGAGACTTCATTGCAGGGACCCAGTTTTCTTATTTAAAAAGAAATGATTATAAATAATAATTATCTAAAGCACTGTTGGGAAGATTAGATGCTTTCTTGGGTGTGAAAATTCACAGCACAGTTCATACCAGGACCTTCCTTTAAGGTTTAAAAACCTCAAACAGCATTATTTTGTTCTTAATACGAGAACCAGTGTTTAAACTATAAAATCCTTAATAGGAGTGTTCAGCCCAGTTGATTAACAAAAGTTATTTATAAATGCTTCAATACTGATGATATGAAACTGATGATATTAAAGCTACCAAAACTTTGTAATGAACACCGAGTTTTGGCTTCCTAGGTAAGAGTCCAAAGTCATTTGCCTTCTGAGAACATTTCAGAGATATCAGATAGATATTCCTTAATTTCTCCAGCACTGTGGCATCTGCCTTCTAAGTTTTCCGTCTATCATAGTCTCCAACCATCTTCTTGATGTGTGACAATTTACTCTTCAACTGTTTGCAGTAATTTCTCTTTCTTTTGTAATCTGCAGACTAAAAGGGAGGAAAAAATGAATCACATGAATTCAACACAATTAAAATAGGTCTGCTGAGAAGGCAGAGGTGAACAAAGGGAATATTAGTCATAAAGAATTGCTGAGTGTTAAATGAATATATTTAAAGTGTCTGGTGGTACTGCCAACCACATAGGCAGCTGATTCACTTTACTCAATTATATCTTCTAACCTGGATTTCACAAAGCATACGCTCATTTCTAAAAATTCATTAAATCACCAAGAAGACTTATTGGCCTTTTTTCTATCAGATCATCTACAAAAATTGGTGAAATAAGAAACTGGCATTATCAAACAGGGGATAAGAGACGTTTACTACATACTGTTTTAAAACTCTTATTTAAAATCATGATGCTTCATAATTCACAAAAATTTTAAAGTAAAATCTTAAAAATGTTTTAAGTCAATGACTGATAATACCAAGTGTTAGCAAGGACACAGAACAACGGGGGCTGCATTGCTCAGAGGGAATATAAATGGCCCAACTATCCTGGAAAGCTGTTTGACAGTGTTTACTAAGGCTAGATACACACATGCCTTCTACTGCATGCTCAATGACTCTGTGATTTCACTTCTGAGTTTGTACCTATTAAATGTTTGCACATTTACAAAAATATTTCATACTGCCTTATTTGTAAAACTCAAATGTTGATTAGCAATATAGTAGATGAATAAATTGTGTGTATGGTTTTTTTTGCCATGCTGGGGATAGAACCTTGGGCTTCATGCATATTGAGTTTCATCCTAAGTCCAAGTTGTGTTTTAATCATTAAACACACAGCATAGCAATAAAAATAAATGAACCAGAACTACATGCCAAAATATGAAAGGAACTTGGAAACATAGTAAAAGAAATCCCACACACAAAATACATACTGTATGATTCTATTTATATAAAGTTCAAGATATCAGGGAAAAAAGATGGGGTGGGGGTTGCCAGGTCATAGGAAATTATTTCTTGATTTGGATGCCAGTGCATTGGAGTACAGTCACTTTATGAAAATTTACCAAGTTGTATACTTTGATTTCAACACTTGTGTGTGTATACTTAAAAAAAAAAGTTTTCAGAAAATCAGTATGGACTGTAGCAGCAAACAACTGAAATTAAAGTTCCAACTTCTGAGTTATAGTATTCCTATCAAAATTACAGGGCTTTTTCTCAATAACCAGTGCATGCGTAAGAAGGTATTCTTAGTCATCCTAAAGGTTAAATTAAAAAAAAAAAATAGAAAAGATTTTCCTAAAAGAATTTTACAATTCAGGATACTTACTCCCTTAACTTGCTTCAGTCTATTGTATTCATCAGCGGCAGCCTATTAATGAGAAACACAAGGCAATGTGTTTAGTGGGGCATTTCTCTTTGAAGAAAAATAACATTCCTGATGTCGCACTTTGGAGCTAAAAAGACCAGTTTATGATAAGAATATAAGGAATTAATGAAGCTTTATAACTTTTAAAAATTTACCAAGTTATAGTCAGCAGGAAGGTGTCTAGTGACAACATTTGGTAGGTGGCAGTACTGGGGATTGAACCTAGGGCTGCTCTACCACTGAGCAACACCCCTTGCTCTATTTTTAAAATTTAAGACAGGGCATCAGTAAGGCTGGCCTCCAACTTATGATCCTCCTGCTTCAGCTCCCAAGTAGCTGAGATTACAGGTGTGCACCACCGTGCCCAGCTGAAGAAACGTTTCTGATATTATTTTCACATGCATTCCATTCATATGGGCAGGTAATAATTTGTTCTAAAGCTTCTCATCTTTCCCCCATTCCAGGCCACATGCAACACTGACATCAGAAAAGTCTTCTGAATTGTAATGCAGATCTGATCTGGTTATATCCCACTATGAAACTGGTCTGAGATTCCCATAAACTTTACTCATCTAATTTCCCAGTTTGGGGTCCACCATTAGCAACTCCTTTTAAAAAAAAAAATTAGGCAGGCTAATGCATCAATATTTCTACCATGATGTTTTCCTTATGGCCATCTAATCCTGCATTGCACTCACTGTACACCATTCCCTTATGTTTTTTGTTTTCCAGTACATAGAACACTTTACCACTAAGCTACAACTCAAGCCCTTTTTAAATTTTATTTTGAGACAAATTCTTGCTAACTTGTGCTCCTCCTCCCTCAGCCTCCCAAGTTGCTGGAAGCACAGACATACATCTCTGTGCCCAGCTCTATTTAGAAATTTCTTTTTTAGAGGGGCAGGGTGTTAGGGACTGAACCTGGGGCACCTTACCACCAAGCTACATCCCAAGTCCTTTTTCCTTTTCTTTCTTTTCTTTCTTCAAGACTGGCCTTGCTAAGTTGCTAAGGTTGACCTTGAACTTGTATTCCTCCGGCCTCAACCTCCCAAGTCACTGAGATTACAGATATGTGCCATAGGTATGTGCCTTGCTAGAAAATTTGTGACAGACACAGCTCAGTGATGCTTCCTCTATAAATTCACTAGGCCTTTAGTTGACTTTATTCTCTGAGCACTTAAATGTGCTTTCTATACATAACATAAATACAGCAGTTACAATAATTTATTTACATGTCAGTTTTTCTCTTAGTATATAAATTCTTTGGTGAGGAGGGAAGACATGCATTTTGAATTTATAATCTCAGCACTTCCACATCAACAAAGATTCAAAAGTGACCAATAAATGTTAACTGAGAAAGGTTTATCACAATACTATATAGAAACCACAAAACAGACAAATCAAGCTATAAAAGCAAATACTTCAAAACGGAAAAGCAGATGACCATAATTGAAAAACTGCAAAGAATATTTAATAAAATTAATATGAAATTCCAATAAAAATATGAAGTGATGAGAAAGTATTTAATTAGTAATACCTAAGACACAAGGTAGTTAATTTTTCAGGCACTAGAGAGATGTGGGTCAACTGAGCCCTCTAGTGCATTACTAGGGGAATGCAGTTGGTATAATTCTAGAGGACAGTTTTGTAGTGGAAGTTAACATGCAGATACCCTATTGTTCACCCATTCCACATTCTGGCATTTGTTTTAACTAGACAGCAGACAAGAATGCAAAACTGGAAAAGATCGCCTATGCCTTCCAGGGTGGAAGAGACATACTGAATGTCTATCTGGAGAGGATTACTTTTCTTTTTTGTATGAAGGATTGAACCCAGCGGCAGTCAATCTCTAAGCCACATCCCACCCCTTTTTATTTAGTTAGTTATTTTGAGAAAAGGCTGGCTTTGAACTTGCAATCCTCATGCCTTAGCTTCCCAAGCTGAAGGGATTACAGGCATGCACCACTGTGGTGGCTGTTGTGGATTACTCTTAAGTAAATTATAGCACAACCTTAAAATTGAAAATTGTATAGCTATTTTTACAGGTGAAAAATTTAAAAGTAGTTTTTTGTTTTTTTGTAAATGGACACAATACCTTTATATTATTTATTTATGTAGTGCTGAGGATCAAACCCAGTGCTCCATGCATGCAAGGCAAGTTCTCTATACCACTGAATCACGACCCAAGCCCTAAAAGTAGATCTTTATGAGCCCAGAAAACCATTCACAATAATCTCAAAAAATAAACTAAGAAATACACACACATTTGAGAACAAATCTAACCAAGGAGGTCAAAGACCTCTACAATGAAAACTACAGAACCCTGAAGAAAGAAATTGAAGAAGGCCTTAGAAGATACCTCCCATGTTCATGGAAAGACAGAATTAATATTGTCAAAATGGCCATACTACCAAAAGTTTTATATAGATTCAATGCAATCCCCATCAAAATACCAATGACAGTCTTCACAGAATTAGAAAAAACAGTGGTCGCTTCAGCAGCACATATACTAAAACTAAAGTGAGACAGAGAAGATTAGGATGGCCCCTGCATAAGGATGACACACAAATTTGTAAAGCATTCCATTTTTTAAGAAAAAAGAAAGACACTAGAAAAAACAGTTCTAAAATTCATTTGGAAGACCCAGAACAGCTAAAGCAAACCTAAGCAAGAAGAGCAATGCTAGAGGCAACAGCACAGTATTGCCACCAAAACAGACAAGATCACTGGGATAGAACAGAAAACACAGAGATAAATCCACATAGATACAGTTTTCTGATAATTAACAAAGGTACCAAAAATATAGACTGGAGAAAAGATAGCCTTTTAAATAAATATGCTGGAAAAAATAATGCAGAAGAAAGAAACTTGATCTCCATCTCTCATCCTGCACAAAAGCCATCTCAAAGTGGACCTAGGAATTAGAATAGAAGCTCTACAACTGTTAGAAGAAAATGTAGGCTCAACACTCCTCCAAGTTGGCATAGGCTTCAACTTCCTTAACAAGACTCCTAAGGCATAAGAAATAAAACCAAGAATAAGTAGGATGGCATCAAATTAAAAAGCTTCTGCACAGCAAAGGAAACTAGAGAAGAAACTAGAGAATATCTACAGAATAGAAGATCTTTGTCATCTGTTCCTCAGGGAATTAATATCCAGAATATATAAAGAACTCAGAAAACTTAACACACATGCAAAAGGATAACCCAATCAATAAAAGGGCAAAAGAACTACACAGACACTTCTCAAAAGAAGAAATACAAATGACCAACAAATATATGAAAAAATGGTCAACTTCTCTAGCAATTAAGGAAATACAAATCAAAACTACATTGAGCCAGGTGCCGTGGCCCATATGGTTCAGGAGGCTGAGGCAGAAGGACCAAAAGTTCAAAGCCAGCCTCAACAACTTAGCAAGATCCTAAGCAACTTAGTGAGATCCTATTTCAAAATAAAAAATAAAATGGGCTGAGGATGTGGCTCAATGGTTAAATGCCTCTGGGTTCAATCCCTGGTACAAAAAAAAAAAAAAAAAAAAAACCCTACATTGAGACTTTATCTTCAGTCAGAATGGCAATTATCTAGAATACAAATAATAATAAATGATGGCCAGGATGTGGAGGAAAAGGTGCACTCATGTATTGTTGGTAGGACTGCCAATTATGCCACTCTGGAAATCAGAATGAGAGTCTTCAAAAAACTGGAAATGAATCACCATAAGATCCAGCTATCCCACTCTTTGGTAGTTATCCAAAAGATCTAAAAATCAGCATACTACAATGATAAAGCCACTTCAATGTTTATAGTAGCACAATTCACAAAGGCCAAGTTATGAAACCAACCTAGGTGCCCATCAACAGATGAACAGGTAAAGAAAATGCAGTATATATACACAATGGAGTTTCTCAGCTATAAAGAATGAAATTATGGAATTTGCTGGTAAATGGATGGAACTGGAGAAATCATGGCAAGTGAAATAAACCATACGCAGAAATTCCAGGGTCAAATCTTTTGTCTCATATGTGGAAGCTAGAGCAAAATAAAGGGTCCCAGATGACCCTTTCTGATCCCCCAAAGATGGAGAACTAAGTCTCCCTACCACACTTCCAAGGGGGGCCAGATTATAAGGTGAAAAGCACACTATTTTTTTTTTCCCCCTGAATCTCAGGCATTAGACAGGAAGAAAAAGACAAAGCCCTCAACTATCACTAGCTGCTTATCAGGAGAGCTGGGTTTGGGTCTAACTCTGCCACTTGCTTGCTGTGTGACTTGAGACAAGTCACTTAACCTCTTTGGGTCTTGGCAAGAAAGCAGACAAAATAAACTTCACAGTGTGCCTTTTGAAAAAAAAAAAAAGAAGAAGAAGAAAGAAAAAAAAATGTGGGGGTGGAATCCCATGAATATAGAATAGATCAGTGGAGTAGAGGTAGGGGATTGAGAGAGAGAGAGAGGAGGGATGGGAAAAGGGAGGAACTGTGGAATGAAATGAACAAACCTATGTCCATAAACAAATATACCACAATGAATTTCACCTTCATGTATACCTATAAAGCACTAATTAAAAACCAAAAAGTAGAAGACAACCAGTAAACTAAAAGGAGAAAAGGGAGAGGGAGGAGGGTAGGGAAAGGGGAAGTACTGGGGACTGAATCAGAGCAAATTATATTCCATGCTTACATAATTATGTCAAAATGAACCCATATTATGTATAACTATAATGCACTAATAAAAATATGAAAGGAAAAAAAGTAGATTTAAACAATAACCACAAACTTTTTTTTTCTTTTTCTGGTATGGAGACTGAATGCAGAGGCATTATACCACTGAGCCACACCCCTAGCCTCTCCCCATTTTTTAACTTTGAGATAGGGTCTTGCTAGGGTGACAAGACTGGCCTTGAACTTGTGATCCTTCTGTTCAGTTTCCAGAGTCACTATAAACTATTGCTCAGCAAAAGCAAGAAATAAGCAATGCTAGAATATATTTTTTAAAAAGGATAAGATGGGGCTGCAGATGTAGCCTACTTGATTAGTATGCATGAGACCCTGGGTTCTACCCTTAGTATAAAAGGAGGAGAGGGGAGGGGCCACAAGGATAAAGAATATCCAAGAGTCATAGGAAGCAATTGAAAGAGTTCTCAGTGGTTAAAACTGAAAAATTTTAACCACAAAATAAATTCTATTAGATCATAACTCAAAGTATGAAAAAAATACTCATGAATCCACACTTACATCAAAGATAAAATTAATTAACAAATAGATGGGAGACACACTATTCTCTTTAAAGAGTGACATATCTATATAAATTTCAGTATCCATACAAAATGCCATATAGACAGCTTAAAAAGAAAAAAATAAGCTCAGTGTGGTGGCACACACCTGTAATTCTAGCTAAAAGGGAAGCTGAGGCAGAAGGATTATAAGTTCAAGGCCAGCCTGGGCCACATAAAGAGACCCTGTCTCAAAATAAAAATGGCTGGGAGTATAGCTCAGTGGTAGACTGCCCCTATGTTCAATCCTCTGGGATGGAGAGAGGGAAAGAAGGCAGGCAGGCAGGCAAGAAGAAGGGAAGGGTGGGAAGGAAGGAAAAAGAGACAAAAAGAAATTAACTTTATAAGGACCAACACTACCTTAACTGGGTGATCAAGGGAAAAATAGTTAATTATTTTATTCTTGAATAAGAAAGGAGGAAAGATAAAAGATGATTCTGTACTAGAGACTATATGTGCCTACATCAGTCCCTCATAAGGAGGATATGCTAACAACTGGTATTGTGGTGACAAGAATTTTTTGGAGATAGGATTTAAGGTGATATATTTTTCTATATACATTTCTGTATTAAATTTGGAGGGTTTTATTTGCTTGTGGTACTGAGGTTTAATCTCTAGACCTCACACAAGTATTCTACCACTGAACTATATCCCAGTCATTTACTTTTTTATTTCAAGATGGGGTCTCACTAAGAAACCAAGGAGCCTTGAATTTGTGACCTTTCTGCCTCAGCCTCCTAAGTAGGTGTGATCACAGGCATGCGCCACATGCCTAGCTCTGTATTTTTTTTAATATTTATTTTTTAGTTGTATTTTTTTTTAATTGGTTGTTCACAACATTACAAAGCTCTTGACATATCATACTTCGAACAATAGTTTCAAGTGAGTTATGAGTTGGACACAATACCTTTATTTTATTTATTTTTATGTAGTGTTGAGAATTGAACCCAGGGCCTCACATGTGCTAAGCAAGCAGTCTACCTCTGAGCCACAACCCTAGCCCTCTGTATTGAGTTTTTTACAGAAAGCATACATTATGTTTACAAGTAGTAAAAAATAATCTGGCTATTTTCTTTTAAATAGAAAAGAGTAGAAGTACATATAATATGATTTTATAATTCTTAGTACAATCAACAATTTGGAAAAACTGTCATCCAAAACATTTCAACTATGAAATTGTGTTTTAGCAAAAAAAAAAAAAAAAAAAAAAAATTATCAACTTTAACATAAAGGATGCTATTTCTCCATAGATTAGAAATAAAATTCTATGCAATATATAAATATCAGGTTTGAATTTACCATGTACTCTTCACTTTCTTCTCTATAGTCATCCAATTCTTTATCTAGACGAGAGAGTTCTCTATTGACCTCGTCAAGTTCTGCTTGTAAGCTTTTGTATTCCTGCAGGCCAGTGTCAAAATTTCGCTTGTAGAGTTGTCTTTGTTGATCTGAAGTGATGGGTGGATATTCCCTAAGAATTAAGAGAGAAAATGACTACATATTTATCCTTAGCAGACGTAAGATCAGTATCCTTCAAAGACAATAAAGCCGGTAGACTACAGAGAATGACCTTCCCTTGTTTACTTTTTTCTTTCTTTCTTTTTTTTTTTTTTTTTAATATAGGGAGGGAGATGGGATACAATATCTTCCATTAAGAATCATGTTACTTTTTGGGCTGGAGCTCTGGCTCAGCAGTAGTGCACTTGCCTGGCATGTGTGAGGCACTGGGTTCGATTCTCAGCACCACATATAAATATATAAATAAAGGTCTGTCAACAACTAAAAAACAAAAAAAAATTTAAAAAGAAAGATGTTACTTTTTATATTACTGCTTGTGGTTTTTCTCTCATGAGTTTTAGAAATAAAGTAGAAAATCAGTTATGAAATTTAAGGTCCAAGTCATAAAAACACATTTGCTTTTAACCCAAAAATCACATGATAATGTTTGTGTTTATTGTCTTAAAACAAATTCTGGAACCCAAAGCCTGTTTTGGTCACTGCAGCAGCACAGTGGCTTACTGGGAGTGGCTGCTTCCTGCTACCACCTACAGTCTTCAGGCTGGCTTATTTAATTATTTTTGGTCTTGTTTTTCCTAAGTGGAAATAGCATATTTTGTATTAAATATAAATGTCCCCAGGGACTAGATAGAAACCAGGGTCCTGATCCCAAGGCAGCTGTGCTGAGGAAACTTCCAGCACTTGCCTTGTTCCCCATCCCTCTTTGAACCATCTACAGTGCAGATCTGGGGGGAAGGGATGTAACCATTAAAAAATCCTAAAATGACAAGGGTCTATTTAGTAGCTTTGGAAAGGTGCCCTTACC